TAGTCTCGCTGCCGGTGCTGTGCGTGTGTTTGTTCGACCATCCCTCCCCCTATGCCCCGTCTCTGAGCCAGTGTCCCCAGCTTACTTCTGTGAGGGATCATCGAGGGAAGAGCTTTGTTCCTGCGAAGTGGGCTGTCTTGCCAAGTGTCGAACTCCAACCCGAGCCGCCCGGCTTGGGGGGGCGGGCCCATGGAGGTTCGGGCGGCACATCCTCCCCAAATCCCAGGCTCGGACTGCGGAGCCCGGAGCGTTGAACTCTGCACCAAAGCAAAAAGGCGACGGGGACCGTTTCCGTAGGCCGGAGATCACCCCAGGTCGACTCAGGTCGACACTCACTCACTCACTCTGGTACAAGTACATACCAGTATGTTGCAGTCGGAGTCCCACCTCGTGCTCCATCCGTCGATGACGGTATCGTAAGCCTCCGGTGCCTGGGTGTGAGGGGCGGCAAGGTCTGGCAAAATCATGACCCGGTTGCTTTTCCGCAATGCTCGCACCACGCATGCGAAATTCAACCGACCTCTCCTCCTAGTCATGCGGGGCACGAGGTGCGGCTTACAAGTCTCCCTTGCTCGAGTATTTGTTTTTTTTTGCACACCTGAGCATTAAAGAGTCGGAGGATTGCAAACCTCAGGCCTTAATGCTTGACCCCAGCACAGAAGCGCCGAGGCGGCAACAGGAGGCAGAGCAGGGTGACCACTCCTTTCACACCGAAACTCAGCGAGACTCCTCCATTGTCCATTGCCTGTACTGCACCACGGGGCAGATATCTACACAAGCAGGTGCTCCTGCCACTCGCCCCAGGCTCCATCGCGGCAGGCAGTCTCTGCGCAGCTGTGCGTGTTGCAAGCGCCGATCTGCCAAGACGGGGGTCCACTACCAGTGTTAGAGCGATCACCGTCAACGCGTAGATGCAATCAATGCCATCTGAATCCGCACGCCTTGTAAAGTCATCTTGCATGTAGAATCTGCTATGCCGATAGCACACAACATCTTGGCTTGCCTCCTCCTTGTGCTTTGCTTCGCATCGGCCGCCTCCGCCCTGACAGCCATAGCCAAGCGAAGTTTCCAGCCAATTCTATATCCATGTTGGGGTGGAGTCTATTGTTGGACGACGTTTGGCTGAGCCTATGCAATGTTGCATCTTAGGCTCCACATCCAAAGCCCGAAGCGTGCAGAAGCAAACACACGACACACAGTTTGAATTTGTCTCCCCTCTGTCAGAAGTGCCAATCACCGCATCTTGCTACACTTTACGTTAACTGCGGTCGGAAGCGGAAGCCACACCTGAGGCGATTGAGCGATGTGCCGATTGCGAGTGCGCTGGCCACCGCCTGAAGCGATATGCGCTACCGAGAACACTGACATGTCAATGTAGGAATGCCCTACCCTCAGCTACAAGAGAGTCTACCCCTGGGTCACATTTCCAGGGTCTGATATCTGGGGCTCTTGGGTCGAGGACAGTGCAAAGAAACACGCAATCAAACACTTCCGTTTCAGCGACACAAGACTCATGTGCGGATGTGCATCTGCCGACCGATGCTCTGCACGGGCACCTTGCGTTCATCCTGTGTGCCTTGAATGCGTTCGATATAATACCAGCAGCAGTGAGTGACCACATGCAGAAACAAATAGCTCTCCAAGTCTCCAAGAGCATGCCAAGCGCTCATGACACGAAGAGCACGATGAACCCCCACCAGCAGGAGACCAAGAAGCGAGATGGAGGATGACAGCGACAAGGCAAGAAATAAAGCAAGAACGAGAGAAAGGCAGAAAGAAAGAGAAAAAGCAAGCCTACACCCTAAACCTTGGATTAGGGTTGTGCGAAGAGATGGAGAGTGAGAGCGACAATGCAAGAAAGAAAGACAGAAAGAACAACAACAAGCCTGAACCCTAAGCCCTACCCTAGTTTAGGGTTTAGGGCTAGGGTCATCCAAAACAACAAGTGCAGAGAGATGGAGAATGTGAGCGGCAAAGCAAGAAAGACAGAAAGAAAGAACGAAGCACACAAACCCTACACCCTAAGCCCTAAATCCCACACACTAAATTGACACAAAACCCCTAAACCCTAAATTTGGTATCAGACTTGCTTTGTGTCTGGCGACATGTGCACCCCTTGTTGAAGCAGTCCCAAGAAAGTCCCGCCGCAACCCATTCCCCCGTGGTCGGGGGAATGGGTTCCGGGGCTTTCTTGGGACAAGGGGTGCACATGTCGCAAACAAACTTGAACTAACCAACATTTGCCAAATATAGGGTGTAGGGTTTGTGGGTCAGTTTCTTTATTTAGTTGTTTTCTTTCTTTTCCGTCTTTCGTGCGTTGTGGCTCTCCCTCTCCAGCTCATAAATCCTAAACCAGGGTTTCGGGTTTAGGGTGTCTTTCTTTCTTTGTCCCTTTCTCTCGTTCTTTCTGATGGCCCTAACCCGAGACCCTAGACCCCAAACTCTAAACCCTCCCTAAGCCCCAACTTTGGTAAGCTCTTTTTGACTAGTTCAACTTTTTGGTGATACACATCCCCAGAAAAGCTTGCAGTATGCATCGGGCACCTGGATTTAATTCACAGAATTATAGAACGATTTCAGGAAGGGTCTGGAATCTACGGGCATCGCAGGCTCTAATATCTAGAAGGCCTACATCTAGACCTTCCAATGCTTGGATCTAGGGTCCGGCACTTCAGACCCTACTGCACCTGATGGTATGGAATGCCCGACTGCAGGTGTGAAAAGTGGACAGGTCCCGCACCGCACGAGCATGTGCAGCCACTCCAACTTGACCAGTCACCTGTCCAACGAGTCCAGATGCCGGCGCCACAGACGCAAATGCGTAAAACACTGGCTCTCTTTCCTTGGGCTTGCACCCCAGAGGCAATTCACCATGCCACAGCCCGTTGACCTGGAGGCCGGGGAATGTTGTGAGGCTTCCTTTACAGAGATGTTGCACAGAGGCCCCAGCCCGCCGCTGTCCCGACATGCGCGAGTCTCCGAGAGGATGAAGTTCTTAGCCGTGAAGGACCGCTGTCCCGGTCAGTAGAGCTTAGATTGCCATGATGGGATGTACTGCCCCCGGCGCCAGCCTGCCCTACTCAGAAGAAAGGAAGTTAAGCCCTGGGAGGAATAGGTTTGGGTGGTTTGGATGCCTTGTACAGCGTGGGTTGGGAGAGAACCGTGAGTTTCTCATCAGCTCATGGTCCTCAGCACCGAACACACTTTCGTCCTTCTCCTTGTGCCGACCTCTTCAGGCTGCATGGCAATGGATTGAAGATGACACGATGCGCATTTGCACCTGAAGACACGCTAAGTCGGAAAGGAGCAAGCGACACTGCAACAAGGTACGGAAGACGGTAGTATGCGGGCGCTCGTGAACTGCTTCCATGCTCAATTCCTTGGCCTGGCAATCTGTCGATCTCGCTGCTGCTGACCTGAAGCTTGAGGCTCCGGGTGTGCAGAGACTTTCCCAGACTTGCCAGACGTGACTGCAACTTGAACTCCATAGCTGGGGCATGCATGGAAATGCTGGCACTGAGGCGAGCTGCCGGCACCACACTGCACCGAGCAGGCTCCCCACTCTGTCCAGGCAGTTGCCTCGTTTGCATCGACTCTGACGATTGCAGGCAAGACTCAGAAATCAGAAAGCTCAGCCTCGCAATCCACAGTTCCGCAGGAGTAGCTGCCACACCTTTGAACTGCGAGATGGGCAAAAGCAGGTGCCGGGGATAAATGAAGTCGTCAAGCTGCGAAGCAGCATGTCAGCACAAAGTTGGAATGGGGGGCTAGCGCCGGGATACAGAAAACTGCGATTACCCGATCGAAACTTCTGCTGTGTCTTGGCATCGCTCCAGTTCTTTTTGGCCTGCCGTCATAGCATATGCCTTTCTATTTCTTCGTTTTCTTTTGCCGGCCACTGCAGTGTTACCCTTTTGCACTCTTGCATTCCTCCGGCGTACCGCTCCCAAGGATTCATCTTCCTTGCGTGTCACCCTGCTGGCTTCCTGAATCTTCCTAAGATGTCAGGGTAACACCGGGTACCTGAAAACTGAGAAGATCTGACAAAGGCACAAGCACTGCCAGGCGCGTGGCGCGCGGAGCTCTCGGAGCGAGGTGGGGCACGGCAATCCGCCGTGCATGGGGTAGACCTGGACCTGCACAGTGACCGTCTGCTTCGAAGCCCCAGCGCTGGAGCTCATCTCATCTTGTCGCTTTGAGTGCTTCAGAAGATGGCCATGCCTGCCGGTGTCGCTGCTGCTCACCACCACCACATGATTTGTCGCAGGAATCCCAGGCGCTCCTGCCACGCAAACAAGTTCAATACCAAATTGGCATCGAAGCCCAGTCGAACAGAGATGCTGGAACGGTTGCAGACCGGATTTTCATGGCAGTTCTCTCTGAAAGACTGCTTACAATCAGTTCAGCGTTTCAAGTCATCAGAAGCCATCTAGTAAATCTCAAGCATTTTCCTTCGTAGCCCCAGCCCTCACTGACGTGTGCGCTGAGTCATGCCAGATGGTTTGCGGCAGCTCCTGCCGCTCATTTAAACTGACATATCCACGAAAAGGCGCAGAACAACCACATGTTCATATCCTCACTCTCCTCTCCAGATTCGACCCATCTGTATTATGATGCTCTCCGACAAGCTACGGCTTTGGGCTCGGACCATGCGGAGACCTGGCAATCCATGCCATGTTGGCTGCACGGCCTGACATCATACTCATCGCTGCCTGGGGGACTGTACTGCATGGTCTATGAGCCACAGAAATTTGCTGAGTTTCTGACCGAGTTTCACCCAAAAGGACGGGGCTGCCAGGACCACCACATGGTCTCGGAGATGATACAATTTAAACACGCATTATACTCGGAAAATAGCTGGGCTCTGCACCGCCCTCCAGCCGTAGCCTCCCGCTGCACGCGACGGCTTCGTGTCCTCAGCTTCCGGCGACTTTGCGAGGTCGGGCTCGTTGTCAGCATCGAATCATATCGAATTATACGGATAGAATGACATCCAACTGTGCATCGCGGGCCTCTGTCCGCCCCAGCAATCGCCCCAGCTGCTCCATGGAGCCAAAATGCAGTCCCCTTCCTGCACAGAAGCTTGGGTAGTCGCAGTGTTGCCATCTTAGGTTTGCTGTTTCACATCCTTTTCTCGTGAAGCTGGCGGCAATGCGAAAGACATTACAACACTCTGGGCAGCAAGCTGCAAGTAAAAGTGCGGTCATGAGGACACCGAACTCTAACATGCTTGCAAACGTGATTGCTTCGCTCAACCAATGCGTGATGCAGAACGAGGACTACCACGCGGAGCGCGCCTGACATGGGAATTCTGCACAAGTCTGTCCCTCGGACAGGTCTCCTTGGCCTCAGAACAAACTTCCTCTTGATCTGCCAACCGTTTGTTGATTCGCACTTCGCCCACCCCTGAATGGGCAGCCTGACCACACATTCAGCCGAATCACAGAACAGGTATCATTGGTCGTGAGCTGGCCTCATATCTGAGGCATGTGCAGGGTTGTCCTCCGTTCCGTGCGGGCTGCGCTACGGCCCTCGTGCGGAGCTGCCAACCGCCTATGCAGGGTGAGGCATCAAACACAAATTATTTTAAGCTATCAAAAAACGGAGAGGAGGCAAGCCAATTAAAAGATCAAGAAAACTATTTCAGGGATCAAAAAACTATTCGTTTTGTTGTGAGCAAAATAGAGAGTACGGGGTGGGGCGAGGGGACGGGTTTATGTACATGTGGACGTACATGTATATATATATATATATGCATAACCACACACACAAAAATTGTACATATACATATATACACACATAACACACACACACACGCACATATATATATATATATATATGGTCAGCCCCCCCATGATCTACCTCCGTCTTT